TGAGTGGTCCAGTGGGTAAAACAAGCCCACCCCATGGGCAGCTGAGCCTCCCCTCCCAATGCTGTCCCCTCCCCAAATCCCAGTATCAATCCCTGGGGAGAAATTGGGAGTTGGGAAAAATCCTGCCTCCAGCTCTTCCATGGGGCTTCACAGGTCCCCCCAGCAACCTCAGCACCAGATCCAGGGAGAGCATTCACCCCCAGACCCCCCCATCCCTACCTCTGGGCTGGTCCCTATGAGTGGGGGGATCCACCGGCCCAGCTGGGGAGCTGGGGGGACCATCACCCATGTGGTCACCATCTGCTTGGAAATCCTTCCCTGGCTCCGGGTTTATACGTACAGATTTTTATAATTATTAGCCTTGGTAATTTACCGTAAAATATTTATTCTGGCTCATTCCAAGGCTTTTGATTCGTGTTGGGTCTGTATGGCTTGGGGGGGGTGTGCATGGGGAGGCACATGGCCACGCAGAGCTGGATGCTCCGCTCCCACCCTCTATAAATATCCATGTGGATGTGTGTGGCCCGGGGAAGAGACCCTGGTGGCAGCGTGCATTGGGGGTCCAGCTCGCTGCTCACCCCCTCATCCCCTCCCACTGCACTCCCAGCAACACCAGCCCTGTGGGACACGGGGCTGGGGGGGATATAACTGATGTGAGGGGAAAGCATCCCAGCACACCCCAGGAAGGGCGGGGGAATGGAAGTGGCGGGGACAGACAAGGAGGAGGAGGGTTCTGGGGGTGGTGGCGGCGATCCCCGCACGCCTGGGTGGTCAGCAGGGCTGGGCTGAGATGGGCTCTCCACTGTGCTGAGCCCCCTGTACAAGGGGGGGAGAACATCCCTGAGCACCCTTCCCTGCCTGCCCTGGGGCTGGGATCCACAGCACAGCTCTCCAAGCCCCAGGGGCTCCAGCAGAACCAACCCCCACAGTGCGCGGGAAGGCTCTGGCGATGAAACTCAACCCAGATGTGCAGCAGCGGGAACCCTTTAACATTTCCCTGCTCTGTGCCTGGAGCTGGATGGCTCCTCCAACAGCCTTGGCTCCTGAGTTGTGCCTCTCTCACTCCCCAAGTGCCCTGCCAAGGAGCTGCAGATGCTGTTCCAGGGAGGGGACAAGGACAGAGACTCGCTGGGGATGTTCCAGCAGCTCTGGGCAGAGCCAAAGTCTTTGGGGAAGGCAGCATCTCACCAGTGGGCACGAGACAAGCAAGCAGCATCCTGAAACAAACAACACTCAGTCCCCACAGGGCTTAAAAAGAAGAGGAAAAGTATTAAAATGGTTGAAAACTACAGGTTATGTGGGTTGAGTTATACCTTCACGGCAGTGCCAGCCCCTCAGCAGTGGGAATGTGCTGGTACCAGCATGGGCTTTGCCAGCCAGAAGCTGAGTTTGCTCAGGGAAATGTTACCAGGACAGCCAGAGCCACGTGCATCTTGTCACCCTTTGCACACCTCAGAGCCTGGAACCTTGTTTAGCGTCTGCCTTCACTTTTCTTCAGGGCTCAGCATGCCCTCGGCCTTCCGACCCAGCCTCGCCCTGCCTGCCTGCCCAGCTGGCCCCTGCATTATTAAACCAGATCCACCTTATCAGCCCATATCTTTTTCCACTCTGGCAAAACCCGCCTGGTTCTGGCTTTGCCAGCCGTCAGCACTTCCATCAGGAGCCACAAGATATTGGGACACCCCTTCAGTGCTGAGCCCCTGTGCCCCCGTGCCCCCTCTGTGGGGGGACAATCTGCTGCTTCTCTGCCCCCAGACTCCTGGGAAGCAGCCCCAGCTCCCCCCTGGCCTCAGAGCCGCTCCAACACCTGGTTTTAATAACAAATGGTGCAGGAAGGGACAAAGGCGTCTTGTGGGAGGGTAGTGGGATACAGGATGGGGGGATGGCAGGTGGAGAGGCAGGAGGGCTGTGGGGCTAGGATGAGGGGGATGCTAAGGAGGGGCACCAGCCCAGGAGCTTTGCAGGGCTGGCTGGAGGTGTCCAGCTGCCCATCACCACATCTCTGAAAAAATACCACTCACAGAACCGGGTTAACCACAGGCACCGGAAAGCTGGGATTAATGGAAATTGGGTTTAAGAATTTTCCCAGATGGAAGAAACATCTTTTCGTCATCTGTCCTTTGACATTTCCAGTCTATTTTGCATCCCCAGCATTTTCTGATTTGGGCTGTGACATTTAAATGGGCGATTTGTGTTTACAGTCTTAGGCGTTGTAAATACTTTGCACATATAGGAGACATTCTATAAATTTGTATCTTTGAAAGAAGAGCTGTAAATCTTTACAGGAAAATGTAGATCTCCTACAAAAACATTTCTATCAGCTTTGTAGGGTAGATGAACATGTAAAAGAAATACATTGACCTTTTTCAGGCACCAAGAGTTAGCATTATTTTATCACAAAGTGTAAATATGTCACTTCAAGATCATGAGAGGCATTAGAAGAAATATTTTGCATTGCTCTTACTCAAGGACTTGCTGACTTGCACTGTCGGGGGGGGGGGCAGTGCATCATCCCCCTCCAGTCACAGGTCCCATGACAAGGATGCAGCAGTGTCAGGGCTGCAGAGCCAAGGGCATGTCCCAGTGGGGGTGATGCAAAGGGACAGGGCCCTCTGTCAGGGGCACGGCCGTGGTCACCTCCCAGCACACAGTGCTGTTGGTGACACTGTATGGGGTCTCGGGAGGCTTTTGGCTGCCCCAAAACTCACTTTTCATGAGCGTCCCATCATCCCAGCACAAGCCTGACCGCAGCCAGAGCCCCACCAGCAGCACCTCTGCCACTTCCCCATCCACAGGGGTCCTTGTGTGTCAACACCCACCCCCCTAACCTCCATAATATCCCCCAGGAAGAAGTCCCCAGCTTGGAGCAAAGGGCTGTGGAGGAAGGCAAAGCCATCTCTGCATTCACAGTCCCTGCCCTGGTGTGAAATATTTGTGACATCTGGTTTTACCCTCCAGGCACTCAGGCTGGGGGTGCCTTTCTCAGGGGAGCAGGAGGCTTCTCCACAGTCAGGGGCCTCTGCTAATTATAGGGTGCAAATGCACCCTGCTTCTCCCTGTGAGAGAACAGTTTCCATGGTCCCAAACTAATGGGTTTCAGAGCCAAGGTCTTGGACAGGTTAGTGCTTGCTGGCCCTTTCGTGTGGCTCTCTGGAGGAGCAGAGATGGGAGGTGGTTACACAGATGGGAGGGGGGTGTGACAGCGAGATTTCTCCAACATAAATCCGTGGTATTGACATTTTTTTGATTGAAAGAATTCTGATTTCTAATAAGTCTCTTTGTAAAGCTTGATTTAAATGTCAAACTTAAGCAGGCTGTGAAGGCTGGACACAGCACAGAGTGCTTGGAGGAGGAACCCATCCCACTTACAGACTGCTGAGCACCCCTACCCTTGTCTGCTCTGGGGAGTCAACACAAGAGATGGCTTCTAAGTCATCCAAAAGGTTTCTCTGTGTGCCCAGCCAGGCGAGTCCTGCTCCCTGCTGCCAGCATCCTTCCTTGCCTGCATCCCTCCCTGCCCACATCCCTCCTGCCCACATCCCTTCTGCCAGCCCAGCATTGCCTGACCCCAGCCAGCCTGGGCACTTCTGGGGTCTCCATCGCTCCTGCAGCCATTTCCAGGAGGAATTCACCACCAGCAGCATTCCCAACAGCCAGGAGGATGCAGGACGTGTTGGAGCATGGATTTGGGATGTGTGTGGATGAGGATACAGGACATGTCAGGGCATGCTGCAGGATGAATCAAGGTGCAGAAAGCTGCCATTAGGGACGAACCCAATGCTGCAGCAGCTTGTGGGCTGGAAAGCCAGCCCTCACCATGGCCACCACGGTCCTGTCTGCAGGCTGGGGCTGAGAGGGCTTGGAGCAGCCTTGGCTCAGCCCTGTGCCCTCCAGGACCCCCAGGAGGCTGCTGACTCCCACCCACTGCCCCACACCACCCCCAGGGGCTCAGAGCTTGGCAGGGGCTGTCGTGGAATCTCCAGTAAAAGGCTACAGCAGGGAAAGCCCCAGCAGCCCCTGGCCAGAGCGAGGAGCAGCGCAGGGGCACGGAGGGTTTGAGCCCTGAACAGGGATGCTTCGGGGTCCTGCTGCCCCTGGGGCTCTGCTGGCATCAGCTGCCCAGCCCCTGGCCATTGCCCAGCCAAGCCCAGATTTCGCCAACTTTGCACATTTTTGGCAGAAGCTAGAAAACATTACTGGTGCCAAGACAGGCGACAGGCGAGGGGGATGGATCCTCCCTCCCCCATAGCTCTCCTGCAGCCGTGGGAGGGCAGGGACCTCGTCATCCTACCGGGCACCCCACAGCCATGGCATAGGGCTGAGCTGTGCTCCTCGCCCTGTTAATTAGCAAGCAATTAACTCAAGGCTAAGCTGGGCAGCAGCTGGGCCCACCTGGGGCAGCCCAGGGACAAGATGGGTGGGTGCATGGCCTGGCCTTACTCCAGCATGGCCAGGAATTCACAGCCTCCTGCTCCAGGCAGGCAGCTCCACGGAGCCCGCAGCCCCCGGCGCTCCCCTTGCAGCCCCCTCCTCCATCCGGCGGCTCCTGCGGCACCGCACATCGTTTGTCACTCCGACAGGTTCAAACAAACCCGGCTGGGATTAATTAGGCTCTGTCTTCGTTTCCTCCAACACTTCGCAGGGGCCGGGCAGCGGAAGGCGGTGGGGAGGGAGCAGACGAGCGGGCAGGCTCAGGCAGGCGGGGACTGGATAATGGGGCAGGGGGGAGAAGGTAAGCAGGGATCTGCCAGCCCCACAGCCCCCCGCCCCAGTGCTAGCGCGGTCGGAGCTGGATGCTGTCCCGGGAACAGGAGGCTGTGGGCGCTGTGCAGCGTGGATGGATCCAGGACTAGACAGCTGCTGCCACCTCGTGCATGCAGGGCAGCTCCCACACACCACCGTCCCAAAACCCTCCAAAGATGGGCCCAAAGGCAGCCAGGAACCCCAGGGGCAGGACTGGATTGTGCCACTGAGGAGAGACACAGGCAACAAACAGCAAGTAAAACCAGAGCCCCCCATTTATTAGCAGTTGGTTCAACAGGACCTTATACCGGTGCCTGGGAGCCTCTCCCAAGGCAGCCCCATGGAGAGGCAGCAGCAGGAGGTGCAGCCCCCTCAAGGCTTCAGGGGCTCCTGCTGAAACAGCTGGCTGGGAACCCCACTGCCAGCAGGGCCCCTCTGTCACCTGTGGCGAAACACCTCGTTACCCCACTGCCCTGGCCCCACTCTGGAGGCAAGGGCAGGATCCTGGGCACTGCAACCCCCTCTGTCAGGAACTGCTGCCATCCTGCATCCTGTGGAGCAGCTCCATCCAAGGGGAAATCTGGGCCCTTATCCCGGTAAACCCGTGATGGCTCAGTCTCGTCTGCCAGCAAATCCCAAGGCGTGGGAGAGCAGACTGGGGCTGTAGCTCTGTACGGCACCACTGGTATAAAGACGTGTCTCCCACTGGGAAAACTGTCCCGTTTCCCCACTGACCTTTGTCCATGTCACGTGTCACAACCAAAGAGACCACGTAAAACCCTCGGGGTTTAGGTACAAATTCTGGCACTGAAGAAAAACACCCCCCCCCCTGCAAAATGGGAACCAAACGAACCCTTCCCCCCACCCCCCTAAGCCCCAACATTATTAAAATACTTTTGTTTTTTTAATATTCAAGAGGTTTGAAGTTCTCAGAATCCTTCTGACTGCTGTTATCCCACTGTTCTGTCCCCGGGCTCTCCTCTGTGCCAGGGGATGCCGGGCACCACTCGGCTTTACCACAGGAAACACCACGTGAGTACAGGATTGCAGGGTGGGCTTGGGGGTCAGGAGCGTACTGGGACCAGCACACTGGGACCAGTATGCCCAGACCAGCACACCAGACCCTTCTCCTGCTAGGCTGCAGTCCCACCATGCTGCCCATGAAGGGGGAGCCAGAGGCTGAGGAGCTTGAAGATGAATAGAGATGACAAAAGAAATAGTGCCTGAGTCTTTGAAATCAAAATCCACCTGGTTTGCAGCATTTCCAAGCAGGTGATGGGGGAATCCTGCAAACTCTTCTGTTTCCTCCCATGGGGCTGATGGCAGGAGCAGGTCTGGGTTCCTCTCTGATTTGGGTCTCCACCAGCTCCATTTCTCTGCTCCAGCTGAGCAAAGTCACCACCAGTGCACCCAGAATGGCTGCTCCACCCTCGGACCAAGAGGTGAGGGACAGCTCTGCTGCTGCTCTCAGGCTCAGGGCAGTTGGCGCCCATTTTGGGCAGAGAAAGGGGAATTTGTGCCACTTCTCTACGTCAGAACGGGGCAGCAGAGGGACGGGAATTAAAAAGGGAAAATAAAATGAAAGAAAATGCAGGAGAGGTGACAGCACGGGGACTGCAGAGTCGGACTGCTGCTTGGGCAGCCGTAGCCTCCTGGGGGTCCCCTCCAAGCCTCTGGTGCAGCCATACGCTCCTGGGGGTCCCCTCCAAGCCTCTGGAGATGCTGTACACTCCTGGGGGTCCCCTCCAAGGCCACGGCCGGGTATTGCTGAGAAGGTCGCGCCGGAGCAGGGGTCAGCCCCGCTCAGGTATTGCTGGGGGGCAGCAGGCAGCAGCTACCTGGTGCTCTGCAGCTCCTCCCGCAGCCAGGTGGGCAGTGTCTGCCCCATTTTGTACAGGAGCTTGGAGAGCTCTATGTTATGGTCCCTGTAATAGTCCCGCAGGAAGGCGCGTGACTGCAACGGGAGAACAAAGAGGAGGGTCAGGGGGACCAGCCCCAAGCCCACTGCCCTGGCACAGCCCCCAGCCCCGCTCAGGACCATCCCAGGAGGCTTTCTGCATACTCACATCCGAATCCATCTCGGGGTACTTCCTCCCTTTGCTCTTTCCCAAGCATTTCGTTTTCCCTCCATCCAGAAGCTGACACCAGAATCCTTTCTTTGGGTCAAACCTGCAAAGTGAGAGCTCCGCCTCAGCCCTCTTGCCCTCCCACACACACCTTCAGCAGGCCATCCCTCTGCCCAGCAAGTCCTGCTGCTGCCCAGCCCTGCACAGGGCACTTTCTCCACCTCTGGAATCCACAGCACAGCTGACATTCTTATCAGCCCCCTGGCACAACAGGTTCCCTCTGCAGCTATGCAATAAGCAGCCCACCAAGGCTCATTCACCACCACACCACCTCGCTGACGGGGCATGGAGCCTACCTGGGTTTAATTACTATTTTCTGTGGCACCTTTGTCCTTGGATGCCCTCAAGTGCCCCATGGCACCTGGGTGAAGATTCAGTGGCCACATAACTAAGCCCTGACAGAGGTACACTGTTATTTTCAGAGGTAAATTAATATTTTTCTAGGAGCTCTGGAGGCTCCTGCTTCCCACGGTAGGGTTTAACGCCTGGAAGGCTCAGAGCAAGGTGACACTTGTGGAGTTGCCACATGGCCAGCAGCAAGAGCTGCTCTCGTGCCTTCACGAGGAGGTGGGGTGCCAGGGCTCAACACCATCATCTGTGCCACAAATGCACTCCAGGAGCCCAGAGCTGCTCTTGGGCTGTCTAGAGTGCCCCCACTATGGTGTCTGTCTGAGCCTCAGGGGAAAGCCTGGCCTCATCAAAACCAGCAGCAGATCTATGGAGAGCCCAAGGACTGGGGGCTGCTTCGGGACACTGCTGGGTGTCCCCAGGGTAACTGCTGAATGGGAGCAATGTCAGGGTGGAGGAAGGAGAAGTTCAGGCAAGAACTCACGCGAGGGTCTTGTGGTAATCGATGAAGTTGGTCACGCCGAGGAATTTCTGGACCGTCTCCATCACTTTGGCGGGTTCTGTTCGGAGCAGTTTGCCGTCCAGCACCAGGATCTGGAAGGAGCAAGGAAGGGTAGTGAAGTGCCACTGGCTCCCAGCCTTGCTTTCCTGGGGCACAACCACACCTTCACCACACCCTCAGCCGTCTCGGAGCCAAAGCTGCCACCAGCGTGCACAGGGGCCCCTGCTGAATGCCAGTGTGCCCTGCTGTTCTCTTACCCTGGATGGTGGAAAATTAAATGCAACTAAAAGCCAGGGCTAGGACCCATCCAGGAAAACATGAGAGCTTTGGCTCAAGGCTGCTCGACCCACGGCCAGACAGGATTGCAACACAGCAATTATGCCAGCAGCAGGAAACTAATAGACTTTATAAGGTTAATCGACAGTGGAAAAATCATTCAGGGATTGATCATGTACACCCCAGCAGTGCTGCACTGTGCAGGTCACAGCAGGGCTGGCATCCAGCTCCTATTTTTCCTGCAGGCAGCTCAAACCATGGGCAGCTTCACCTGCTATTTTTGTCCTGTTTGATGCTGTGGCAACACCAGAGAGGGAAGCCCCAGGAGTCTGTGGACAAGCATGCAGGCACGTGTTGGGTGACCCTGCAGAGCCACTCACAGCCCACCAAGCTCCCTTTCAGCCCTGCTATGACAACCTGCACATGGACATCTTTGCACATTGTCCATCACGCTGCAAGGGCTCCCTCCTTGCACAGCATCTCCCCACTGCCCTTCCTCCAAGTACTTTCACTCTTCCCTCTGAGGTTTTCAGGGTATAACAAAAGCAGCTCCCAAGGGAACACCCCCGCAGTGGGCCTTGGATCCAAACTCTTTTGCCCCTGCATCCTTGCTTGGGTGAGGGCTCTTCCCCAGGTGCTGCCACTGCAGGATTGGGGTGCTCCCATCCCTACCTGGTTGGCGTGGTAGCTGTTCAGCCAGCGCTCGATGTGGGTGGCGTACCAGCCCGGCACCAGGCAGCGGTTCTGCAGGGTCCGGAGCTTCGGGGCAGCCTCGGGCCCGGCTGTGATCACCTCGTGGAAGGTGTATTTCAGGGCGACCGGGTCGTCGTGAGCTCGCTGGTGCTGTCAGGCAGGAGCAAGGCAGGTTTGTTCCTGAGGTAACCCCAATCCTGGGCTCCCATGAGGTGCAGCAGCTCCCAGACCCCCAGGATGCGTCCTCACGCATCACAGCCAACAAGTGTGTGTCAGCTGTCACATCACATCCCAAATCAAACTCCTTGCCCACTGCCCTATGGGACTGCTCAATCCAGAGGGGAGGCAGAAGCTCACCTGATACCAGGAGTAGGCTCGATCTGCAGGGTTGATGAGGATGGTGATGACTTTGGCCTTGGACAGCAGGGCTGCAGCTCGCCGGGGAGCCACTTCAGAGTCAAAATAGTTGGCACTTTTCTCAAAGTAAAAGTCAGAGGTGGTGTTGGAGGGGATGGGGAAGAACTCCATGTACCTGGGGGAGGCACAGCGTGAGGTAGGCACATGGGCATGAGATGTGCCCGGCAGCCCCCTCACAGGTGACATCTCAGACACTCAGATGGGAAACCCCACAGCATCACTGCTCCCATTCCCACCCCACTCAGTCCCTACAGCACAGAGACCCACCAGTCGATGCCCTTGTGATAGTTGTGTCCATTGAAGAACTGTATCTCCTCGAAGGTCTCTGAGCTGGGGTAGTTGCTGCTCAGGTCCGGGTGCATTCCCAGGAAGAGATAAAGGGCGGTTGTTCCTTCAGACAGACAGAAAGCAGGAGCTGACTTGGGCCAAACCTCCCTCCAAGGTCTGCTTCAGGGCAGGAGGGCTAAGAGAAGCTATTTGAGGGGGTGGGGAGTTCTGTCAAGCCTCCTGGAATGCTCATGGCACCAAAGGTGGAGGGAAGCACCTGTTTTTTGAGGCCCGATGATGAGAAGCTTTGGGAATCGGTCACAGGTCTTTTCTTTGGACCAAATGTCCTTGTGCCGTTTGTCTTCACAGGGATCCTGCAACACAGCGGGGAGGATCAGAGACAGGGCAGCCTGGATGGGACTGCACACCACTGCTCAGCCCCTCAAGCCTGAGCAGACACATGGGGAGGCCACACTGCTCAAGGCAGGACAAAGACCAGGTTTATCTCCAGGTCTATGGGGCGAACTCCTTCCTGGTACTGCCCATAGAACCAAAGAGAGGTCAAAATCCACCGCTTACCCAGGGAAACAGAGGGAAATCCAGGCTGGAAACTACCTGAGGAGGTCATTTAGTCTGAGCTCCTGCTCGGAGCGGGGCTATATCACACTTCCCTCTCCCAGCAAAACAAACAGGGCCACTCCACCCACTCAGGGCATAGGGGGTACCTGCCACAGCGGGTCCTTCTCTTCAGAAAAGATCTGGAAGTATTTCTGTGCCAACTGCACAGGTGGCAACGTCTGCAGCTTCAAGTTGGTCCAGGAGTTGAGGAAGCGGACCAGGTGCTTGAAGGTGTACAAACCCAGGCGGTCGTTTCCGTAGTTGGACAGATGGGTCATGAAGATGCTGATCTGAAGCGGAGAGGACAGAGCAGGGGTTTAGCAGAGCCTCATCCAGCAGCGCTGGGACAGCTCTGCAAGACGCCCATCCCTCTGTCCCCGGGCAGTACTCACGGGGTTGAGGAGCACAGTCAGGAACAGTTCACCCCCGTTGATGATTTTGTCCAGCTCACTGGAGCCCCCGGGGTATTCATTGTAGAAGATGGTGTGCGTGAAGAGGCCGCAGGTTTGCCGGGGGAGTACCTGGGGCAGGAGAAACATATGGATGGCTTCCAGAGCTGTGTCCCCTTCCCTTCCCAACAAAAAGGGGGTCCTTAACCCCTTGGAGGTCAGGACCACTGCCCCTCACCACCCTCAACTTGCATCCACACAACAGAAGAGAGACTGTGGACAGAGGGAAAGGCCAAAAATTGCCCTCACACGAGCCTCCCCCATGCAGGATGAGCAGAGGGCACAGCCCCCTCGAATTGAACCGCCTGCTGGGGTTCTGGGTTTTGCTGGGGGGACAAGAGGAGAGAAGCACCAGAGACAAAGCCTGGCCACTCACCATGATGCCATTGTGGATGAAGCCGCGGCGATAGCGAGCGGGTTTCAGGTGCGGATACTCCTCCGTGCTCGTCACTTTGATTGACCAAACCTGCTTCCACGCCTCGTACAGCTGCACGTGCACGGGGTACACGCCCGAGTGGTGCGGGGCCACGGCGTACCCCATGTCAGTGGGGATGCCATGCTCCTGCAGAGAAGAGAGTGGGGACTGGGTGACTGTGGAGACCCCAAAATCACAACATCCCAAACCGATCTCTCCACAAGGGACTGCCCATTCCCAGCTACAAATTGTCTAAGTCGTGCTTCTGGAGAGCAACCAGAGTGGGGCTGTGCATCCTCTCCTAAGCCTGGCTGTCTCCATGAAAGGGAGCCCAGGAGCAGACATGCTGGGTGGACACCCCACTCCTGGCTTCACTCAGACCATCCTCATCCCTGCCTTCTGCTGTCACCCACAGAACAGCAGCAGCAAAGCTTTTCTGTGAAGAACAAGGAGATACAGCTATACAGGACCGTAAATTGGTTTATATTAGTAAATTTAAAACAGCCTGGAAATTCTGAGCTGGAAAATTGCCTATCCGAAGCAGGGGTGGTCTGGTGTCTCTCTAATTAAGCACATCTAATTATCAGACAATGAATTCAAATTAGTCTGAAGATCCCTCTCTTAGGCCATAGGATGCAATCATTATTACTGAGTCTGGCTTTACTCGCCTGGATTCAAGACAGCTGTGGGTCAGTCACAGCACAGTCTGGTGTCAGTGCTGGTTTCCTCAGGGCCACACAAAGGACAGTGAAGAGGATGAACAACCCCTGACCAAGCTGAAGGGCAGAGCCTGCCTTTCTAAACCAAACATGTCCCCAACAGCTCGGCCTGCAGAGGGAGTTTCCATCAGCTGAAGCCTTCTGGCACAGCCACAGCCCTAGGATCCCACATTATCACTCAGCACAGCATCACATGGTGCCAGGCTGAGCATCCCCCTGGACTGGACCTCTGCACCCCCACAGTGCTGGGCCAGGTGGGCACAGGCACCGGGGCAGATCACTGCCAAAGCAGCAAGTTGGCTGGTGCAGATAAATCCTTTTGCTCCAGGTACTGTTGTATAATTGGATTTACCCACCCAGCTGCAGTGTGGGGTACGTGACTTAACGTCACCAGGTCCCTTTATTCCAGCGATTAGAGACCATCCCCTGGGAATCCTCTCTGCCCCCCTTCTCCCCTCCTTCCCCACCACAAACATCCCCACCGGCGGCATCTTACTCACGACAGCGAATTTCTTGTTTAAGGTCATCTGCTCGGCGAGAACCGACTGGTTGTGGAAGAGGTGAGGCTGCATGTGGCTCCACATGTGGGGGAACCACCAGAACTCCTTCACGTAGGACAGCAACAGGTCATCACCTTCATCCTCGGCATCGGTACCTGCGGACGCGACACCTGCTGTCACCACGGAGCATGGAGAGCATGGGAGCAGCCAGGGCTGAGGAGAGGGAGGCTCTCTCTCAGTGACTCTTGGTGCAAGTGGTGGGAGAACAGGGTGGGATGCCTGAGGACCCTCTTGCAGCCTCAACATCAGCCTCTTTGAGCACCAACTGGCGCCTCAGCACCATCTGTGCAGTGACCACAGGCAAAGGGATGCCCTCACCCTCCTCACCTGTGTGGAAGAATTTCCCTGAGTATCCCAGGTTGAAGGTGAAGTTCGGGATGTGGGTGCGCAGCTCGTTCTGTGTGTCAAACAGCGCCTGGGAGAAGGGGAGGGAAATCAAGGGATCCTCAGCACGTGACCTCGGGGATGGCTGCCACACCAGGGAGAGGACCCGTGTCCCTGAGAGCTTCGCAGAGGGGATGCTCTGGGGACAGGAAAGCTCATCTCTGGAGCATCCCTGAGCAAGCACAAGTGTCCAGCCCCACGCACCCCCCGCCCACCCAGCTGGGACAGCACAGCCTCACCTTGACATCTTCCACTTTCATGCGCGTGCCCTCCTTGCCCACAAAGATGTCGTCGATGTCCACCAGGATGTAGCGGTCGAGGGGCAGGGAGAGCCTCTTGCCCGTCAGGAAGGAGACAGAGTCCACAAAGACCAACTTGTGCAGCCAGAAGTTGAGGTTGTTGCCAAACAGCACCCTCTGGATGCCGTCGTGGAGGCCCAGGTCCTGCATCACGGTGGTGTGCAGCGCGGCGTCCACGCTCATGTGCGGGATGGACTCGGCCGACTTGGTCTTGGCCAGGAGGACCGGCTCGTAGGTGGAGTGGTTCGACTGGAAGACGGTCCAGTCCTCCCCGGGGAGCACCCCCTTCTCCACCTCGCTGGGGCGCGTGATGTAGAGCAGGGGCGACTTGGGGTTGATGCTGCAGTCCTTCAGCGCCAGGTTGGAGTGGAGGAAGAGGGGGAAGCCCTTCAGCTGGGCACTCAGCAGGCTGTTCTCGTTGGCCTGCATGAGGAAAATGGGGGCTAGAGGAAATGGGATGCTGGGCACAAGGCAGAGGCTCACTGGGGATGCCAACAGCCACAGCAACAGAGGAAATCTGGGTGCAGAACTCCCCTTTCCTCTCTGGAGCAGGGGGTGCCCTTGTCTCTCTCACACACTCAATCCTGCTGCTGAGTGAAATACCTGCTCATGCTTTTGGCAGACCCCAACAAGGGTCACTCCTGGGAAACAGGGATGCTAAAAGCAACTGGACTGATCCCAGAAGTGTGTTTTTACCCCCCAAAACACCCAGAGGCCACACAGCCCCTCCAGAGGGAGAGGACTAGGATGATGCCATCTGCTATAAGCCTGTGTCCCATGCCAGGTTGCAGCCCAGCTCCACACCAACTCAGGTTGCCTAAAGAAAGCATGGAGAGGGCAAAGTCCCTGTGGGGCAACAAGATCCCAGAGCCTCCCTGCTCACACCTGGCCTGGCACTGGGGTCTCGGTTCACCCCCTGTACCCCCTTACCTTGAAGAAGCCGATGATGCCCACGCCATACTCCACACAGTACTTGTCCAGCAGCTCCCGGTTCCAGGCGTCCAGGTTGACATACTTGAGGATGTTCTCGTAGATGATGAGTGCAAAGCGTCCCCGGTCCTTGTCGGTCAGTGTGGGCATGTCCCCCTTCCCCGGGGCAATCTCTGTCCTGTATTTGAAGCGACTCGACTCCAAAATGGCCACGATCTCCTGGCCCAGCTGGGAGTAGAGGCTCTCCACGAAGACCAGCACCAAGGGGTCTGTGCGGGAGGAGTCGACCACCTTGACGGTCTTCAACGGCAGCAAACGGGAAGGGGCGACCTTGGGCTCATCACAGTCCGGCCCTGCCACGTCCCCAGAGGGCTCCAAGCCCCTTTTCCACCCATATAAATAATATGCAGAGATGAAAACACTGAGCAGGCAGAAGGCAAAGAGCAGGAGCAACACCACCTGCGGAGAGAGCTGCCAGATACCCCGCCGGGCCCTGGCCAGCACAGTCATCCTTGCATCCGCTGGGCAAGGTGGGGCCCCTCTCCTCTGCCCACCCCCTCCCCTTGTGAGCCCCGGGGAGGGGAAGAAGCAACCAACCAACCAAAACAAAATTAGATAAAACAAAGTTGAATACTACTAATAAATTAAAATACTAGCAGGCCGCCTGTGCAGGCTCTCTCCCCTCCAGCAGTCGGGCGTCCCTCGCTGTCAGCTTCATGTCACCATGGCAGAGGCACCGAGAGTCCCCTTGCTGAGCCGAAATTCCTGTGGTGATGGCAGTGGTGGCAGCAGCAGGAGCCCCATGGCCTCAGCGGGGCGAGGGGGTGGCGGGCAGCCTGGGCGCGGTACACGGTGGGAATGTGGCCATGGCAGCTCCCTGGTTCCCCGGCTCCACACGGTGCCCTGCAAGACAGAGGAGGGATGAGAGGGCAGGGACAGGACCAACGCCGCTGCTTTTACTTCTACCAGCACAATCCCTCGGCGAGCTGGCCTGCGTGTCAGGGCTTGCCACAGGAACGCCGTGAGCTCCCGACGGCGCTGGGGATGGGGCGGGAGCGCAGCGCGCACGCGTGGCCTGGGCTCCCGGCTGTGGGGTGAGCCTGGAGTGTACCAGCATCACAGGTGCTGTGGAGGGGAGCCCTCAGCCCCTCGTGAGTCCTTGACACCTCAAGCAGCTGGAGCAGCAGCCCCGCTCCTGGTTGCCCAGTGGGAGCCAGGCTGTGTCAAGGAGACTGCTGGGAGTGGTCTGAGCCTCCCATGGCCCATCCTGGCTGGCAAGGAGGGACATGGGCTGCCAGCCAGATGGGTGGCTCAAGGCTGAGTCAGGAGCTGCCAGACAAGGTCACTGAGAGGGGCACACAGGAACATCCACATGGAGCCAAAGAGACCTTGGGAATATTTTTCCCCTCCCTGTGAAAGGCCCATTTGAAAAAAGAAAAAGGATGGCACTGCTTGCTGGGAGGTGGAGCCACCCAGGTGACACCAATGCAGTGTTTAAGGAAAACAAGGTGCTGGCATGGTGGCTCGCAGCCCTGCCCCAAACTCACCACCAGTGCTGGGGACAAGGGCAGGAGTCCCTGTCCCTGTGCCCTGCCAGGGCCACGGCTGAGCACCCTCCCAGCCGACACCAGCCAGGCTCCTAACAGGATTAAACGTGGCCAGCTGAGCGGTACTGTGGATTACAGGCTGGGTTTAGGCAGGGTAATCCTGTCATCCCTGCCCTTCCCTGCAGTGAGTCCTGCTCCAGACACACTGCTTCCCAGCCCTGCCAGTATGGCACCGCTTCAGCCAGGCCCTTGCAGCTGCCACCAGCGGCCAGTCTCCATCCAGCCTCCACCACTGTCTCCTCCATCACCACCTTCACCGCCCACCAGCAACCCTGGGTTTATTGATCTGTAATATACCTTTGTGCACATGGATGGTCTCCAGGCAGGACCAAGAGCAGATGCACCTTCACTCTAAGCCCCCTAAGGTGTGCCCTGCCTGTCTCACCTCACTCCTTTCTCCCTTCCAGTGGGGCTGGACTTTCAGCATCCCCAGGCAAACATCCACAACAGGATTTTAGGGCAGAGCACTTCTCCAGGTCCAAAAGGAGAAGCACAAGGGGATGTAGATTTTAGGGATGTGCCTGTGCAGAGGGAGGTACCTGCCTAGTGGTGGGGAGAGCTGGAACTGTGTTATCCAGCACCCTGGCCACGCCATCCTGCTCCATCTCTATTTCTTTCATCTGCCAGGAGCAGTGGGTGCTAGCAGCATTCCCACAGTGATGGGTGGGCAAGTGACAACAGTGGGTTGTCACCGGAGCTGGTGACTGATGGGCAGGGCTGTGTGTCCATCCCTGCACCACCCTCCACGAGACACCCTCCATCACCTGCCACCTCCAAGGGCGCTTCATTAGTCCATCCTCTTCTATGAGCTTTTAATTACAGTACTTAATGACCAGGCTTTGGAGACAGGATCTCCGGGCAGACGCCGGCTGACTCTCCCTGGGCTGCCACGTCAAAGCCTGCCCGGGCAGGGGGCCAGCACCAGACCCCTGGAGCAGCCAGGAGGGAGCTGGGACCGGGGCAGGCACCGTCCCGCCCCACGCGCCCGCCAGCGCGGCAGGGAGCAGGCAGGAATCCTGCTCTGCCGGTTCAAACCCTCCGTGGGGAGGATGCTGAGGGGTTTGGGGCAATGCCACGGGGTGGGGATGCTCCTGCTTTCCCCACATGAGTGGGTGCTGGCTGCACTGTGCCCAGCACACCCCTCCAGTGGCGGGAAAGCTGACAGCTCCCCGCCAGAGAAGGAAGCAGGTTTAGGTCCAAGAGCACAAAACAAGTCCTTGAGACCAACAGCTTTTCTAAAACAAAAGGGAAAACATGATGATGAAATAGAAAAAAAAAAAAACACAAGAGCTGACAAGGTGACAGCCGGGGTCAAACTTCCTTTTAACCTGATTTTTAGAAGCTGCTCAGGTGCCTTTTAAACCCATACTAGTTATTTAAAAGGCACCAGCTTGAAATGTCAGCTGGACTCCCACACACAGACCTCAGGCCCCCAGAAACACTGTACAGTGCTGGCAGGCTCCCATCAGCCAGGTGAGCCACACATGAAGGACCTTGGGAGAAAGAGCCCTGGAAAATGTTCTTTTCTGCTGGGTTTCTGAGCAACACCACAGCACAGGCTTGCTGGAGAGGAGGCTCAGCAAGGAGGCTTAGCCACAGTGCTCCTAATCTGGCTGCCCTGACAAACACAATCAGCGTCCAAGCGGCTTCCCAGCGTGGCTGGGAGCCCGGAGCACCCTGCAGAGCCGGATCCGACCCCAGGACAGGCAAGGAGTGCAACCAGTGGGCAGAGAAGCCCTTTACTATCAGCACTTAAAATCTGGGAGAGCTGCAGGAGGAAGAGGAAAACAGCTGAAAAACTTTTCTAAATGCACCCCCCAGTGCAGCTGGGGGCTGTGGTTTCCCCCTGCCACAAACCCTCCCTGGGGAAACACCGCACCCCAGAAAGCCAGAGGGGTACTGCAGGAGATGAGAGGGGATGAAACCATCTCCATTAGCAGCTTGCAGTGCTCTTCCTTTAACCTCCAATGAGATTTTGCAGGGATGCAATGGAAGGATTAAATATAAGCAAGGAAGTGCAAGGAAATCCGGAGGAGAGGGAAGGGTCAGTGATCCCAGCAGACAACCACAGCAGGGTTTGATTTATTGGGGGGTGGGATAGGTCTGGCTGCAGGTGCAAGCAGTGAAGATCAGGCAGTTCACAAGTCTCAACTGTCAGATAAATCAACTGTTCCAATCCCATGGCCCAGGGATGGGAGGTGAGCTCAAAACTATGGGTGTGACACAGCAAGAAATTGCTCACACACTTCCCCTGCACCACTTTGGAAAGGGCTGCAAGGGGAAACAGGCACCAGTGAGGGAGAAGACGCCTCAAGACTTCGTGCAAGAACCCCAACCCCTGACTCCAGTAGCTCACAAACCTCCAACATTCAACCCACAGAGATGAAACCACATCCCAAACACCACATCCAGATGGGTCATTCTGCTCCTCTCCTGTTGGCACTCTCTGAGTGGTCACTCCTGCTGCTCCTCATCGTCACAGGGAGAGACCCACCACTGCTGGGTGATCACCAGCTCACCACCATGCCAGCTCCACTTCTCCACGTAAGCCAGCCCTGGGGGTTAAGCGTGGATGGAGGAGGATTTACAGGCAGGATGCTAAATTGCATTGCACAGCTCAGTGATTTGCAATCACTCCTGCTCGCTCCAACACTTCCCTTCCCGTATCCGACCACCGCAGGGGATGCAGCCGGCTCGGCCCTACCGACACATCTGCTTCATCTCCCACTTGGACACTGGAAGGTCTAAATTTGGCCAGGCTGGGGCCCAGGCCCCCAGCATGGCAACAGTGCTCACCCCACCCTGCCTCCTGTCTCTCCCGCCCCTCACACACTCTCACCAGCATTCCCAGTGATCACTAAATGGCTGCTTGGAGCCCTGGGAGTCAGCACTACCTGTAAAAGATTCACAAAAGGCAGCCAAATTATTATTAATAGGTTTAAGGTCCCTCTAGAGGGAATCCCCTTCACTCAATGGTAATATTTAGAGGACTACAGATCTAAAACCACTGAGCTAAGCACGTCCTTAGAGAGGAGATTAATGCCATCACATTATTCAAGAGACAACTGCAAGCTCAAGACAGGGGAGCTTGCTTTGAAAATGAAAGAGTAACTGGCGTGAAAAAATGGCCTTTAAACACCCACCTCTGCACTGCTGCCTTGATCAGCTCTGAATGGCAGCGACGCCAGCTGCCACTGGAATTATCTGCAGAGAGCTGAAAGTACTGGCCAGGGAAAAGAGCTATCACAGGGTGCAAAGGACCACAGCCTGTCCCTGTCCCCATCATCTCCCTCCCCAGCCAGGGCCAGACCCACTGGCCAAGAAAAGACAATCAGGAGGACACGATCTCCTTCACTGTGCTGAGCGATGATGATCCCACCAAGATGCTCCTGGAGCTGGGACTGAAGCCCTGCACCGGAGCAGCCCTGTGAAGCCACAGCAACCCAAGGAGAAGAAACCTGGCATAAAAACTTCAGCCACTGCAAAATCAAGGGATTTTCCTGGCGAACCCCATGTCCTGACAGCCTGGGCCATGAGCCTTTAGGATGGGCCCAAGAGACTTGGAAGAGGGGTGAGCTGTAGGGATGTCCAGCCACCTCCTGCCAGGTGGCAAACCCAGGGTGTCCAGGCAGGGGAGTGGGGTGAGGAGCAGAGAGAAAGGGGAAAACACTAAGAAGGACACAGAGGAACAAAAAGGAGCTCGTCCTGGCCACTTACTTGCCAAGGCTGCCCCGCAGTTTTGTAATGCCAGATAAGGAGCGTCTTAATGGTAGATTACAGGGGCTGCTTAAGCGCTTTGCAAACAGTAGTTAGAGCCTGCCAGGGAGAAAAATACCCTGCTGATGGGAGAGGGACAGTCCCAGCACTGCTTTCCTAAGGACAGCCACCTTCCCCTAGTGCCCAAAAGGTGCAAAATTAAAGGACTGGCAGCTGAGCCTGGCACAGGAAGGGTCAGGCAGCCACCGATGCTGCTCCTATCCAAAACCCACCCAAACTTGGCTCCTCCCCTCCATGAACAGGCTGGATAGGACTAAACACAAGGGAATATCGGGAAAACTCATCCGTGGTTTATACGGTCTGGAGCATTTTCATCCCGGGAGGACTTCAGCAGGAAAATCCCCCCTTTTTCTCAGCTCTTTTGGTAAGATCTGAACTATAAAGCCTGGAGAGAAATTGAGCAGTTGGAGCATCCACCTGGACGGCTACTGCTGAATCAAGTTTCCCCTCGATGCCTCACTCCCCTCTGGAAATAAACCTGTGGCTCTGTCTGCCCACCACCTCCCTGCTCCTGTGGGA